GAGTGCCTGCCTGGCAAGTATGAGGTTGTGAGTTTGACCCCTGGTACCCAAAAAGAGAAGAAAAAAAAGTGGTGCTGCTCCTTACAATTGACAGAAACTTAGATTCAACAAGACAGGCCTTGGTCAGCTGGGCCTGGTGGGCCATGCCTGTCATCCCAGCACCTGGGAGACTGAGGCAGGAGGACCGCTGTGTCTGGAGGTCAGCCTGGACTACATACTGAGACCTTGTCTCAAAACAAACATCACCACTAGGTCTGCCAACCATGGCTGTTGTCACAAAATGCTTGGTCTATTATATAATCCTCTAATGTACTGGGTTTCTAACCATTTACTGCTAGGAGGCTGAGGCAGGAAGGCTGAACCCTGAAGCTCAGTCTGGGCAACTCGGACCCTGTTTCAAAATGAAAGGTAAAATCTGCGTTAAGTTCATCAGCTCGCCCTCCTCTTCTCGGCTTCAGCTGAGTGCTTACTCAAGCCTCGTCTGTCTTGCCCCATCGCCCGGCTCCACGGCCGCCTCTTGTCCTCAAGAGCAGGACGCAGGCAGCCTCTCCCTCCCTCCGCGGCGGCCAGGACCCCGCCAGGCTTCCCGGCCCCCGAGGCCTCTGGCTCCCCGGAGCCTGGCAGCACCGAGGTCTCCCCTCCTCGGCCACGTTCTCTTCCAGCGCCGCCCCCAGGGCCGTCCGGGTCGGAGCCTCGCCGCTACTCTGCATTTCCTCCACCACGGACCCCGCCGAGCGCCGAGGACGTCCGCGCCCCACAGCCCCGGTCCCCGGTGACTACCCCTTCCCGCGGCTCGGCCGCTGCCCCCTGCGGAGGGGTCGGGGCTCTGAGCGCGCTCCTGCCGCTGCTCTCCGTCCGCCGAGGTCCGCCGAGGTCCGTTCCTGCGGGCGGCCGCGGCCTGCCTTCCAGGCAACGGCGCCGAAACGCACTCGCACTCATTTGTCCGGGGCCCGAGGGGTGGCCTCCCTGGACCTCCGCCCCTCCGCGCCGTGCCCGGGAGCTGGGCCCGCAGCGTCCGCTTACGAGCACTCGCGCGATCGCAAGCCCGGGCGTGGAAGGGGCCCGTGCCGCGACTTTTTCCACGGGAGGCGGCCCGAAGGCCGGAGGTCAGAGCAGCCCTGACGGGAGCGCGCGGGGCTCTCCACCGCCCGGCCACGCCCACCTCTTTCCGCCCCTAGCCGGGCGGCCTCTCTGGGGTCAGGGCCGGCGCTCCACGCCCCGCCCAGTTCCCGCCTCCCACGCTCGACGGGCTCGTTCCGCGCCGGCTGCCGGCGGCGCGCGTGCTCGCGGAGGCACAGGCAGCGTGCATCCGCTACGGGAGCGAGCACGCAGGCGCCGTGGGAGCTGTACGCGCGGATCCCCGTGGCGGTGGTAAGGGCGGGACGGCGCTGGGACTGCGCGGGATTGCGCGGGGCGGCGGAGTAGGGCAGCGGGAGACCGTGCTTTAGGACCTAGAGCGGAAGGGACTGGGCGGCGCACCCAGGCCGTGGGGCAGGAGAAGGTAGGGGATGCGGGCCGTGCCCGAGGCACACAGTGGTCGAGGCTGGCGTTGTGCCATAGAGCTGCGTTCGCTTCCCGGGATACGACCGCTCCCGGGCCTCGCTGATTCTGAGACGGATAAAAAGTTCTCAGGCCGGCCTCGAACCTTGCGTATTCCTACCGCAGCCTCCCAGAATTCTGGTTATAGGCGTGCAGACTCCTGTTCCCTTTGCATTGCAGCGTGGCATGGAGAAGGGCTGCGGTTGTCACTTGGGCTGCCGCACTGTCAGGCACATTTTAGCCACCAGTGGAGGGAGAAACCGCATTCACAGGGCTCCCGAGGCCACCCTGCAGTCACCTTACACCCAGGCGTGGTGGCGTGCGCCTGTAATCCTAATCCCAACACTAGGGAGGCTGAGACAGGAGGATTGTATAATAGGACTCTCAAAAAAGACCTGCTGGGTCTTTTTTGGGATCAGTTTTCATCACCACCCCTTCATCGCCCCCGATAGTTGCCTCTTTCCCGATTTCTGCTTTTAGGCAATGCTGCAGTTGAACTCCTCTTCCTGCATGCCAGGAAACTAACTACTGAGTTACATCCGAGCCCCTCTTTTTTTTTTTGCTTTCTCTTTTTTCTTTTTTTGAGACATAGTCTTAGTTGAGCCTGCACTCACAGTGGAGTCCCGGCTGGTATCAAACTCTTGGTGAGCTTCCTGCTTCAGCCTCCTAAGCGCTAGTACAGGCATGACCACCATGCCTGGCTATCTTCCACATTTCCAGCATCACATATCAGCCTGCATACTTGTGAACCTTCTGCCCACAGGATTCTTTTTTTTTTTTTTGTCTTTTTCATTTTTATCGGTACCAAGGATCGAACTCACGACCCGCTGCTTGGAAGGCAGGCGCTTATGCCGCTGAGCTAAATCCCCAGCCCCGGCCCACAGGGTTCGTATTTCGTGACGAGCTTCCTGCATTCAGCGTTTTCCGTGGGAGATTTTCCTCCTATGCCATAGCTTCCAGTGAGAAGAGTTAGGCTGGGAAGGAGGGAGGTAATAGTGCCAGTTGGGAGGGAGGAAGTTTGGTGGTGTGGGTGCGTTGGTCTGGAGATGGTGGAGGAGAGGGGAGCCCCTAAGTAAGACGGGCACCGAGAGCCCAGGGCCAGGTTCTAGCAGGAGTGGGTCAGCAGAGGGCCGCCCCGGGCCACCTGGACTTGAGCAGAGGTTAGCCCAGGGTAGGAAGGGATGCCTTGCACTCCTTCCGCTTCCCACATGCTCCGTTTGGGGACAGGAAGGGCTCTCCCTGATGAATCCAGGGAAGCCCCCAGAGGTGGCAGGGACTTTAGCCTGGGAGCAGGCTGGGCACCTACGTTGCCCTGGTTCCTGTGAACCCGAGTGCATGATTCGCTTCCAAAATCAGATTTAGGAAACAGGCTAGAAATTACTCTTGTGTGCCAGCTCTTTAAAAACGTTCCTGTCAGGCGCCGGGTGTGGTGGTACAGGCCTGGAATGCCAGCACTCACGAGAGGCTGAGACAGAAGAAACACTGCAAATCCGGGACTAGGCTGGGCTTTAAAGTGGTCAAGGCCAGGCAGAACTTGGTAGCGAGACCCTTCTCAAAAAGAGTAAAAAAGAAAAATCTAAATCTATGTATCCATGTTTGTATCTGTCTGCATATCCACATTCCTGTCAAGTAGTTCTGTGGGCTGTTTCTTTCTGCTTCAGCTGAGGCACTTCTGGCCCCCCAGGGGGGGCTGGTTTTGTTTTGGGCATTGCTGCTTTTTCTCCTTTCCTTACAAATGATGGGTTGGGGGAGGGGGCTGACCTGAGACCCACTCTCCCGAAGCCCTAGCAGGTTCTCTGGATACTCAGTCCAAAAGGTCTGGCACATCAGCAGTCCCCTCTGGAGCTGCACGAAGTGGAGGCTGGGGAGCCGCAGGTGGTCTTGTCCTGGCTGGGCGTGGTCAGGTGTAGGGCCCTGAGTGCAGCTGCGCCTCCTGTGATTGGGAATCTGCTTGGCTTGGTCCACGGGAGATGCTGCCACACCCCTGGTCTCCTCTCCACCCCTGCAGACTGGAGCTCCTCAGACTGGGCCAGCATGCGGCCGGCAGGGCTGCAGGCTTCCCAGGTTCACTGCGGTTGTTGTGATTGGGACTGGTTTGTGTGCCAGCGTCCAGGTTAAATGTGATTATCCGGGATGTGGACCACTGACTCCATCCGATATCATTAAGCTGAATCCAGGAACTAGCGTTTGAGGTCAAGGCCAGCCCGGGCTACATGGGGAGACGCTGCCTCCTTTCTCCAGGCTGGAACCTGGGTCCCCTCAGTGCCTGCTTGCAAAGTGGCTTAGCCTAGTTTCCCTCTTCTGCCTCCAGGGCTCGGGATGCAGCCCTTGCCTGTTCCAGGTGCTGGACTCTTAGTTCTCAAGTTGTCTCCTCACATTTCTGAGAAAATTATTTTATTTATTCGGGTGTTTTGAGGCAGGGCCTCACTTGGTAGTGTATGCCGGCCTGAACTGATTATGTAGCCCAGGCTGGCCTCAAGCTCATGATGGTCCTCCTGCCTCAGACTCGTGAGTGCTGGGGTGACAGGCGAGCAGCACCACACCTGGAAGGAGAATAATTTTAGCTAACTAGGCGGAGCGTGCCCATCTGCAGTGGATTTGCTATTTCTGTGGTTTGTACTTCAGGTCTATCCTGTGGTTCCAATGGCCCATCGTGTTTCAGAGGGAAGAGGGAGAGACAGTTTGTTTCTTATTTTCAAACCCGCCTAAGGAGAGGAGAGGAAAGAACCACCAAAGGGAGCAAACAGTTGGCTTTCCCTGCGTTGCGTTTCCCTAAAATTTGGGTCTGGCAGGCTTTCAGAAAGCCTGCTCAGAGATGGGAAAGTGCTGTGATTAGTGTAACGGGCTTTCGGGAGGAAAGCAGACGCTCCAGGCCTTCTGGGACTGTCTCCTCTCCGGGCCACCCTGCGGCTGTGGTAAGTGACCACGCTGCCTCTGACACTGTGGTTTTCTCAAAAACAATTGTACGACCAACCTTCACTGTGCCTGTAGACACACAGGCCCCCTTGCTGCCTTTGATACTGGCATTAAATGCAGGACCTTCACACCGAGCCCTGTCCTCAGTGCTTTCCCTTGTTTATTTTGAGGCAGGGTCTCACTGAGCCACCCCAGCAAGACTCAGACTTGCGACTCTCCTGCCTCGGGCCATCTAGAGTGCTGGGATTACAGGTGAGTGCCACCTTGGCGGAAGCACATTTCCTAATCCTACGACCAGGGAGTAAGGATTTGAGACCACCCCTTCCCTCCCAATGCCCCAGCCCAGGCCTCATTTGTCACCTTTTCCTGGGGCTCCTGGATTTGTCCTTGAGGTTTGTGCTCAGCTGGACCTGGTGTTTCTTCCTCCAGGCTGTTTCTGCACAGTCAGGTTTTGACTTTCGGAGGCAAAGCACCCCTTTGTAGCCCTCCAGCTCTCCAGCTCCTGGTTCTAGAGAAGAGCTAACATTTCCTTGTTAAAGAGTTCTGGCAGCAGAGCCGGGAGGACCATGGAGAAATGCTACTGGATGGCAGTCGCGATCCTCATGGGACTTACCGTGCGGTGGACGGTCTCTCTTCATTCTTACTCAGGTAAGATATTCTCATTGTTTAAAAAGTCTGTGAAATGCTAGGTGTGGCACACACCTCTCATCCCAAGACTCGGGAAGCTGAGGCAGGAGGGTCACTGATTTTGAAGCCAGCCTGGTCTCCATAGCGAGTTCAAGGCCAGCCTACCTGGAATACATGGTGAGACTTTGTCTCAAAAAACCAAAAAGTAAATTAGATAAATATTCCTTTGAATTTGTGTTGTTTCTTTTGTATTTTGCTCAATGACTGAGAAAGGAATTTTAGGCTTTGTGGGTGTGGTCAGGAAAATACATTTAAGCGTCTAACTCAGGACTTTGTGGTAGAAGAAAACAGGTGTGTTCTACCCGGGACGTCGGGAGACAAAAACTGGAAGGTGGGCGTTTAGATTCTGAAGAGCAGTAAGCTCACGCGTATGGTGTGTGTGTGTGTATATGTGTGTACACGCGCGTGCGCATGCGTGTTATGGGGAATGGGGCTCAGGACCTTATCTGTTCTGGGCAAGCTAGGCCACATCCCCAGTCTTCGAGACAGGTCTTGCTAAGTTGCCCAGGCAAATCTCAGATTTGCAACCCTCCTGCCTCAGCCTCTGGAGAAGGTGGAATTACGTGTGTGAGAGTTTAGGGTGAGGCCTGCTGTGTATTGTTTAGAGAAAGGGACTGAGTTCCGACGGGCACTGGGATGAGGCTGAGGTGAATTTACCCCTGCAGGTGCTCAGCTGTGCTTCGTGCCAGCCCTGTGCCCCAGCTCTGGGGACCCGGCAGCACAGTGGTCACAGCACAGTCAGCAGAGAGGCTGAGGGATGGCAGGAGTGGGAGGAGGTGATGGCCCAAGAGCAGTCTGAGCACGGGTTTGAAGTCTGAGTTGCCTGGGAAGCAGCCATGGGAGCAGGAGCCCTGTACTAGCCACTGGCCACTGGGGCGCAGCTGCATCCCAGAGCCAAGTGGTGTATGTGGGGCAGCTGGAGATTTGCTTATACAATTTGTTAGGCGAATTATTTGCTTGGGAAAAGAATTCACGGTAGTAAAGAAGAGCTGTAAACAGAAATCAGCTGATGAGACCACAAAGGTCACACAGTGGTAGGAGCTGTTCTGAGGATATTTCCCAGGTGCAGGTCCCTAAGTAACATCTCCAGCTGTAAATGGAGAGGACAGTGGGGCAGCCTGGAAGTGGTAACTACCTGGCTTCAAAGTCAGTGCTCTCAGGACCTGGCTCTGAGGCTGCGGAGACAGACGAGGGCCTGGCCAAGACTGCCCAGAGGTGCAGCCGTGAAGCTGGGGGCCGTGGTGGGAGCCAAGGCATTTGAGTCCTGCTGCGCACACTCCTGCATGCTCCGGCGTCTGTGCAGGTCCCACGCGCAGTCACTCTCCCTGAGTATTCCCTACCTCTGCGTGCAGCTGTTTAGCATCACACCGTGAGATTTGTGTTTTAATGTATTTTTGCAACAAGGTCTCACTATGCAGTGCAGGCTGGCCTGGAACTCACTCACTGTGTAGCCCCGGCTGATCTTAACTCAAGGTGATCCTCCTGGCCTAGTGCTGGGATTGTAGACCTGTCAGCAGGCCTGGTGGTGTTTTTATTTTTGGGGGGTACCAGCGATTGAACTCAGGACCTTGGACTTGCCAGGCAAATGCTTGTGTGGCTAAGCCAACCCTGGCCCTGAGGTTTGTGAGGCAGCTCAGGTCTGCCGGCAGGGATTTTGAGTGGGCCTGGCCAGGGCTGACGAGGGCCACGGTGAGTGAAAACCAACGGTTTCCTGCCGTGCAGTGAGCATGGTGTGAGGACAGGGTAAAGGAGCCTAGTTTCCAGGTCGAGGCGCTCAGTGGGAATATGGGCCATGGGGGTTGAGCCAGGTGTGAGGAGCAGGCTCAGCCTATCTTCAGCTGTCACAAGATTCCTTGGCTCTGCAGCTCCCAGGCAGTCGGGTCCTCGAGTCACCTTCTCTCTGAGCTGTCACCCAGCCTCAGACGACAGCAGCTTGAGAGCTCGCTCCAGTGCCACAGGCAGGTTTCACTTCTGTCACCATCCGCACCCTCTCAAGTGGCATCCCTGTGGCTTCAGGGGCAGTGCTAAACTTTTTCAGTGTTTCAAGTACGTTAGGTACTAATCATGGTTTCAGTTTGAGTTTTGTTCAAGATTCATGAGCTCGAGTGTGGCTTTATGTTTATGGGCTGCGTGGGTTTTCTGTGAATTCATGCTGTCTTGGTCCCTGTCCCTGTCTCTGAGACACAGTACCGCCACCCATGGCTTGGAGGGAGAGGGTGGACTTAGCTTTGTGGTATGCAGGGGTCTCAGCTGCTGCTGTGGGGTCTCCAGGTAGGAGATGGCAGGGGCTGGTGGGGTCAGTGGGGCAGCACTGCCCACCTCATGGGGCCTGGGGCAGAGAGGGAGGGAGAAGCCGGGAGACAGACCTTCTGGGCCCCACTTTCCTTGGCCAGGCCCCTCTGTGGGTTCATCGTAGGTGAACCCACCCGAGAGTGCGGTGCCCTCGAGAGCCCACCACCTTCCTGGGTTCCCTGCCGGGGCCCCGTCACAAAAGCTAGGCTCGGGAGAGAAAGCCGTGCAGGTTTGCTCAGGGTGATCTGTGTGACCCGGCGCTTCGCAGGGACCGTTAGAGTCGGTGCTCTGTGCCTCGGATGTGAGGCCAGGCTGGTGCCCTGCTTCCTGGCTTGGGGCCTGGGCGGTGCCCTCCTGCTGTGCAGGCTGCAGCCTCATGCCCCAGGCCCAGCCCTGCTGCACCTGCTTTCCTCCCAGCATATACCGCCGCAAGCTGCTTGCTTTCCTTGGTGTATTTCCCTTTTCTAAAATTTATAAAGTGTGTTGGATAGAGCTGGTTGTGTAACGGAATTTTCACAGGCTTAAAAACACTGACCGCATTTTGGTTTTTGGTTTAAACCACCTCTGGGAGGTGGACAGATGTGTTTATAGTTTCTTACAGAGATCCATAGTTCCACTGTACTTGACCCACAGCGTTAGCAGGGTTGTCAGATAAAATGACAACCTTGGCCCTTCCAAGGCTGTGCTGTTGTAGTAATCTTTCCGCTGTGGATGCTGGGTGTGCAGGAGGAGCAGGTCGTGGAGAACCCGTTTTGCAAGATATGAGTCTTTGTTAAATCATAACGGGTTCGGCTTCACTTCTTTCAACTGCTGCCCTTTGGAAGGATGTATAAATTCTCAGTCACCAGGGAACTAAAAGCTAGATTTTATTATGGAACATTTTAGCCAAATTTTTCTTCTCTTAAACATTTATGTTTTTGTTTGGGTTTTTTGGTGGGGTTTGAGACAAAGTCTCATTGTGCAGCCCAGGTCAGCTTCAAACTCACAGTGATCCTCCTGCTTCAGCCTCCTCAAATGTTTAAATTATCAGTGTGAAGGCAACATAAAATACATGTTGTTAACAAGAAGTTGCCTTTCTTGGGCGGGAGTGGGGTGTTGAGTACCGGGGCGCTGTTTCAGAGCTAAGCGCACTGGTGTTTTCTGAGTGACTGTGCCGCAGACTAACTTTGAGGCCGGGTCCTCTTTGCCCCCTGGGAGGGGCTCTCCCAGGTACCACCTGGCTGCCCTTTGGGCTGCTGAAGGGCACTTGAGCATTTTAGAAACTTAAGCACTAATTTCACTGCCAGTGTCAGCTAAATTTATTGAAGTAGGTCAGAGTCTGGATTAAAACTTGTTCCCAGCCCTAAAGAGGATCATTACCCATCTTCCTCCTCCTGAGAGATTGGCAATAAATCCTCCCATGTTGACCGCACATCTAGTGCCACTGCGGAAATCTGGCAAGTTGGATTTTTTGAGGGACAGGAAGCTGGTTAAGATCCTCCCTGACTTTTATTATCCCTGCGATCCAAAAGTTGGACTTTCCACCCCCAAAAGAAGCCATGCTCAATGGTTCATTTATGGGACTAGAAACACACACCCACTCACACGCTTGTGCACACACACCTACAAATATACGAGGGAACTACAGTGAACTCATTGGGGAACCATTTTCCTCTCAGAAGCACATTGCAGGGTGCTACCCTCCTACTAGGGTAATGTTTTTGTTTGTTTGGAGAAAACAGTGTCTCACTATGAGCGCAGTCCTCCTGCCTCAGCCTCCAAGGTCAGGGACTACAGGGTGCACTACCAGCCCTGCTAGTGAAGCAGGCATTTGTTTGACCTGCCACATGCCCTGGGAATGCCCCATCTGAGCTCAGGACACGTTTCTGTCTTAGGAACTGGAGTTCTGTCTGTGGTGGCAGAGAGGAGGCCGTGTGGTCCCGAGGGGGGACCCGTGGGACTGAGGTGTCTGTGCTAGGAGGAAGCAGCACTGGGGAGTGCTGTGCCCTCAGTGTCATGAGGGGCCGCGACACAGGGCATAACAAGGATGGGTGAGGCCACAGGTCCGTCTATCCCACATACCCTGGACATGGGCGTCTGGTGACTCCAGGCTCTCCATGGTGACGCAAGCCTCAGGCAACCTTATTACCACCATGTCAGTGTCACACCTGCCGGTGCTGGTGTGAGAGGCCTTTCTCCACTTTGGGAATTACAGCTGGGCTGTAGGCGGCCAGCTCCTACCCGGCTCTGTGAGTCTGTCTGTCGCTCTATCCCTGACAGCACTGAGTGTGTGATGCCCACCCATTAAGACACATGGGGGCTGGAGCCGAGGATCACTGTTGGCGTCCCTGTCCCCTCGGCCTGCAGGCCTGGGCTCACAGCTGTTCTTCTTCCTGCAGGCGCCGGGAAGCCACCGCTCTTTGGGGATTATGAAGCCCAGCGACACTGGCAGGAAGTCACCCTGAACTTACCGGTCCGACAGTGGTACGGGCGCCTCCTCCCCCCGCCCCGGGTCTTTTGGTTTGTCACAGTGAGTCACCTGGTGGGACAGTGACCGGTCCGGGGCTTGGGCCAGGCCCCCAGCAGAGCAGCCTTCGATGCCCACCCCAAGCCTGCCTGGCCACCTGAGCTCTGTCCTGAGAGAGACAGGCCCGCGAGGCCACCCAGGCTGGGTTTGGACTATAGCTCCTCTGGCACCAGCAGTCATTAAATCCCTTATGTAGGCTTGGGGACCTTGGGGGATGGGTGGCAACAAGGGGTGGGAGTTTCATTCTCTGTGTCATAGTGGTTGGTAGTTCCTTCACAGCAGAGCTCCCCACAGAGCCTCCTGGTGGCTTACTGAACCCGATTTTCTTCTTTCATTTACAGGAACCTGTACATAGTAGGCACTCATTCTGTGTTAGCTGAAATAGTCCTGTTCAGAACTGCCCGTTCCCAGCCAACATGGTGGGGCACACCTGTCATCCCAGCAGCCTGGGAGGCTGAGGCAGGAGGATCGCAATTCAAGTCCACCTCAGGCAATTTAGCAACCCAGTGAGACCCTGTCTCAAAATACAGAATGAAAAAGGACTAGCAGTGCAGCTCAGTGTGACAGCCCCAGAGCAGAGGACAAACCAAGACAAACCAAAAACAGAAACAGGTTCATAAGGTCGATTCTTCCTATAAACCAAGTCTTCACGTGTTCTTTGAAATTGATTTCTTACTGTTTCCTTGTGATTTTTATTATTATTTTAAAAATTTTTTATTTTATTTTTTGAGACAGGGTCTTGCTGTGCAGTTCAGGCTGGCCTTGAGCTCACTTTGTAGCCCAGGTGGGTCTTGAACCCTCCCTCATGCCTGATCCTCTTGCCTCAGCCTCCCGAGTGCTGGGATGACAGGTGTGTGCGCCCACGCTGGCCCACCTTGTGATCTTTAAGAACTTTGGTGTTGTAGCTTACCATATGCATGCTGTCTTTCCATGGCATGCTGCTTGTGCGTGCTGGCCCTGGCCACGGCAGGTCTGTGCCTGGCCTGTGGGCGCTGGGGCTTAATGTTCACTCACTGTTACTTCGCTGCCAGGCATTGCGGTAGCCTGAATGCCGTGCACTGTTCCCCGGCGTCAGTGCCCGGATGCCAGGGAGCACAGCAGCGCTTTCTCCACAGGTATTTCAACAGCAGTGACAATGACTTGCAGTACTGGGGCCTGGACTACCCGCCTCTCACGGCATACCACAGTCTCCTGTGCGCCTACGTGTAAGCATCCCTTCCTTTGTCACTGGCATCATCTCCTCTGCTTCACTGCAGAGTGGGGACCACGTGTAACCACTGTCGCTTCATTGATCACATGTGGGTTTTAAGAACAGTAACTTTTTTTTTTTTTTTTTGTCTTTTTCCTTTTTATCGGTACTGGGGATCGAACTCACGACTGCCTGCTTGCAAGGCAGGTGCTTATGCCACAGAGCTAAACCTCCAGCCCCAGAACAGTAACTTTTATGTTTGAACATTTATGATTTTTCTGAAGGGATGGAATTTCATCTTATTTTTTTCATAGAAGCATGTTTTTGTTTCCTTTGTTAGTGTCTACCTGTAGTACATTTTTAAATGGAATGCAAACCCTTAGCTTTGTTTCTATGTGGAAATGTTACACGTTACAGACTTCGGAGAACTGTTCATTGTGGGTTACAAAGATTTTTCCTGGGGTGACCCAAAGCAGATGGCAAGCATAGTCAGATGGCACTGGCTTGAGTGTCCCTAGACGCCAGGAGCAGCCTGGCGGCTCCCTGCCACCTGGAGGAGGCACCGTCCTATCCCATCCTGATGGAAGCCAGTGCTTCTCTCTAACAGTATCTGGTCCCAGACTTTGGACTTTGATCAGCAAAAATCTGAGTGACTTTTGCCCAGTCTCTGTTGAACCTGTTTTCCTTTTTGGGATGTGTGGTGGGTTTTTGTGAGCTTAACCCCAAGGCTGCACTGCGGGTTGTGTACCCACTGCTTCGAGAGCGCAAGGTCCTCACCCCGTACACATGCTGTGCTTTGGTCCACAGAGCGGAGCGCATCGAGCCAGCCTGGGTGGCGTTGTACACATCGCGGGGTCACGAGAGCGCGGCGCACAAGCTTTTTATGCGCGCGACAGGTACGGCACGGGTGGGGCGGCTGATGATGGATGCTGATACAAGTGCTCTTGTTGCTCATCCTTGTTCTCTTCCTCCCTGCCTCCTCGCATGTCCTGCAGGGCTGGGGACTGAGCCCAGGGTCCTGGGTGCACTGGACAAGTGCTTGGCCACTGAGCACCACCCGGGTTTCTTTATTTTTTGTTTGGATGCAGGATCTTCCTGGAGTTGCCCAAACCTCAATCCTAAGATCCTCCTGCCTCAGCTTCCCAAGTATCTGGAGTCACAGGCGGGTGCCACAGAGCTTGGTTTTACTATTGTTCTTAATGACTTTAAAAACTGCATGACTGCAAGAGGTGTGGTGGCATAGTCCTGTAATCCTGGAAGTCTGGGAAGCTAAGGCAGGAGGATCCTAAGTTCAAGCCCATCTTGGGCGGTTTAGCAACTTAGTGAAGCCTGTCTCAATAAAGGACTGGGGTGCAGCTCTGTGCAGAGGCCTGAGTTCCGTCCCCAGCCTTATCAAGCGGGCAAAAATGAGTAACTATATATCTGCCCCCAGATGCGTATGTTGTAAGACCAAATATGCTAAAAAAAAGAGTGGAAAGCAGTTCTGGATCCTTTGCATTTATTCCCTGAGTGCTGTGAGCATCTGAGGAAGACCATGGCATTCTTGTCTCTATGGAGAGCTGAGAAAGCAGGCCAGGCAGGCCAGGCACGCACCGTCCCCGGGCTCAGAGCGCTGTCCGCTGAGGCTGTCTGCATTCGGGCCATCAGTCTCACAGCCTGAGTTCAAGTCCTCTACCTCTCCCTGAGCCTGCGTGTTGGAGAGCAGTGATGCGACCAAGGCTGTGATGCCAGCTGTGTGTCCTCAAGGCTGGTGACTCCATCCCTGTTCCAGGGGTGCTGCAGTGATGAGTGTGCACCACATGCCTGGCTACACTCATTTCTAAGCCCCGGTCAGGATAGATGGACTGCTGCCTACCTGAGAAGGAGCCAGTGTGCGGTGTGTCAGAGAAGAGCGAGTTGGCAGTTAGCCTGGGAGTCGCCCTGGCGGAGTGCAGAGGGCTGCAGGGCTTCGGCGGAGCAAGGCAGGCAGGCAGGCGCTCAGCGGTTACCACAGATCCTGATGGATGCATGCTCAGAATTATTTGCTTGCATTTTCAGTTTTCATTGCTGATTTGATGATTTACATACCTGCGGTGGTTTTGTACTGCTGTTGTTTAAAAGAAATCTCAACTAAGAAAAAGGTAAGCTTTAAAGCAATCAGAGATTTCACCTCCATAATTCTGTTTGTTCCATTGCAGTACTGGGTATTGAACCTGGGACCTTCATCCTAAGCTACATCCTCAAGCTGTTATTTAAAATTTCAAGATAATCTTGCTAAGGTGTCCAGGCTGGGCTTGAACTGTAATCTTCCTGCCTCAGCTTCCCACGGTGCTGGGATCACAGCAGTGCACCACCATGCCCAGCCTGCAGTGTTTTTGTTTTTTTTTTAATCAGCATATAAATGACAGGCCATAAGGAAGCCATGCTTTGGGGAACAGACAGAATAATGGGGAGCATTATATCCTCTGTCAGTTCTCGTTCAGAAGGCATCAACTTACTCCACACTAATTTGGAAATTCCATACTGGTGGGTCACACACTGTGCTACATTTATTATTGATTGGTAAATCTGACTCGAGCTGGCTTTTGAGAATTACTAAGCTGCAAGACATTTGGAAAACTGCTGTCCTTCCCCTAGTCACAGCTGTCAGACCCTCCATGGCCACTGTGCATGGGCTCATTCCCTGACTCGCTTTGACAAACACCCTTTTGTGACATCCCACGCCATCTCTGTGCACACCTGAGTATCTACAGTTTGCCAGGCCTGGGTGGGCTTTGTGGACAGAAGCATCGGGATCTGGGAAGTGGGGACCTTCACTGGCCATGGCCACGCTCGTCCCCCAGTGGCACAACCTCCCTTTCACAGTGTCTTTCTTCCTAGGCCGCAAGTGCCCTCTGTATCCTGCTGTACCCTGGCCTCATTCTCATCGACCATGGACATTTTCAGTATCCTTTGCTGGCCACATGGCCCGAATCCCAGGCCCAATGTTTTTCCTGAGCTTCCCAGTCAGGTGTTACCGGTACACTCTTCCCAGGGTCTGTCTTGTCTGGGTAAGAAGTTCGCCTGTCTTTCCCTTTGCCGCTCCTATTAAATTTCATCCCACTGAGCTTCCTTGAAGCTCCAGTTAGCTCTTTCTGCTGCAGAGGAGCTGCATTGCTGCAGGAAGATTCCTCTCCGTACTGGGGGGACTGGAGTCTTGCACTGGATTTTGGGATCTGTTACAGTGAACCTCGGCGCTAAGAGAGCCAAAGGTCTCTTGGCCTGTGGACCTCAGGCCTTGGGGAGCCTGGACCCAGTTGCTCGTCACCGTGGAAGGGAGTATGGGGGTATGCATGTGCCTGCTGTGCACTCTGGGGTGGTTTCCTCAACCCAGACACATATATAACTGCGTGAGTCTCGGCCTTGCCCTGTGGGGTGTCCTTGGAGTGTCTCGTGACTGGGACCTGCTGGGGTCACTGGCCTTTTGTTTAGCGCTGAATTACAAGCAGATGGAACTTTACCATTCCCTGCCGTTCTTTTGCTTTTTACTTGGCAAGTGTTTTCAGAAGGGTCTCAAAGGAAAGGGGTGAGTGACCTTTTTAAACACAATCCTACATTCTACCTTTGCCTTTAAAAGGTGAGTTCTTAGAAACGTGCTGGCCATAAATGAATGGGGAGACACTATGATGTCGTGTACTATATTCTTTTAAATCTTCCAACTTAGAGGCACCTGGTGGGCAGGGTATGTGGGCCGGTAGGGAGGTCAGGCACCTTGGCACTGTGTCACTGGCCATTGGGAGGGTCGAGCACCTTGGCACTGTGTCACTGGCCATTGGGAGGGTCGAGCACCTTGGCACTGTGTCACTGGCCATTGGGAGGGTCGAGCACCTTGGCACTGTGTCACTGGCCATTGGGAGGGTCGAGCACCTTGGCACTGTGTCGCCAGCTCACTGTGGGCCTGGCCCTTGGCATTTCCACAACTGTACCTTTAAACCTGCAGAAGCTGCGTGTAGCCTCGCTGCGAAGCAGGCTCTCAGTGGGGAAGTGAGCCCCCTGATCAGAGCTGACTGTGGCTTGAATGCAAGTCGAGAGTCCAGATGTTGCTCTCCATCATAGGGTGTAGCGCCTCCACCGACTCAGCAGGCTTCCTCCTCTGTAGGCTTGGCTCGCTGCTCCGGCTGGCCTGCACCGTGGTAGCCTCCTGCGCGCTCTGCTGGCTGCCGTTCCTCACTGAGTGGGAGCAGACCCTGCAGGTCCTGAGGCGCCTCTTCCCGGTGGACCGAGGACTGTTTGAGGCACGTGGGCCCCGTTACCCCCAGGCCAGCCAGCTTGCAGCTTCAGCTGGGTTTGGCAGGGTGGGGAGCAGGTGGCCCGCTAACAGTTCTGTGTGTTGTGGCTTTAGGGAAGGGAAGCACTTGCTGAGCCCACAGTCCTGTGTGCCCAGGACTGCTGTGGCCCTGTCCACGGTCTCTGGCCTCAGCATGCCCATGTTTAATGAGAACCTTTCATTCCACTTAATGCTATTTTAATTGCTCTTGTTAAACTTTTATTATGTGAATAATTTGATCACTTAGATTTAGTAATTTAACAAACCATTTTTCTGAAACAAAAAGGCCATTTAATAAAGTTAGGCAGAGACAACATATTTGTAGATAATTTGCCTTTGAATAACATTTCTTTTTGAAGAGAATTTGAAGAGCCCGAGTATCTTTCTAATTGGGAGCACACATATCCCTAGTGGCTCTTGGTGGCTTTCAGGAGGGCAAGCCCTATTGGCTGAGGGTCTTCAGTCCCCTGGGGTTTACAGAGTGCACCCAGGCTGAGCCCCATCAGGAGCAGAGGCAGAGCTATTGTCTGAGCCTCTTTTATCACCCCTGCTTCACCTCGGGAGACAGTGTCCCCTCCTCTCCACACACAGGGTGCTGACACGGAGACTGAGATGGTGCAGACATGCTGTCTCCAAGAGTCTGAGGACACCCCTGTGACCTGTGTAGGAGGGCTGGGCCAGGTGTCAGGGATAACCAGGTCTTGGTGTCAGCACCCGTGTTAGACCATAGGTTTACAAGCAGGCGAGCTATAGTTGCTAATTTAAATTTGAAAGTTATCCTAGCACAACTGCTGAGGTTTTTAAACGTCTTAGCACTGGTCATTGCTGGCACCCAGTAGGGGACCCCTAAAATTAATAATCATTTCAGTGTGTGAGGAGAAAGGTCCAATGTAATAGGTGTCATAGGAAGAAGGGGATGAATGGTTTCTTAACAAAATTTCCAAAGGAGTAAGTTCAGTGTTTAGGGATAGTGTGCCGCTCTTTCAAAACTACCAGTATTTCTTGGCAAGTCTGGTAACGGCCAGCTGACGAACCCCCGCTATAGAAAAACGCTGAATGCCCAAAGGTGTGGGTTATAGTGTGCCAGTCTGTAGCTTCAAGAGCTCACTCTGCTGCCACACATGCGTCACCTGTCTCAGAAGCTTAGAGGCTGAGGCCACACACACTTTGTGGGCTCATGGGCTCTCAGTTCTGTGAATCGCACCAAAATGCAAACCCCACAAATCTCTTTTAAGGACAAGGTAGCCAACGTCTGGTGCAGCCTCAGTGTCTTTGTGAAGGTGAAGGACCTGCTGCTGCGTGACACCCAGATTCTCATCAGGTAACTGCATGGCTCCAGCAACCTCCTGTGTGCCCTGGGGCTCTGCTCAGACCCACCCAGGGGAGCCAGTGCCCCAGCTCTCCCCTCCCCAGAGAGGGGAGACGGTGCTGAGTGGGGCTTCATGTCAACCAGCAGCTATAATCACAACGGGTAGTCACAAAGTGTCAGCCAGAAAAGTGGAACGAGTGGGAGGTAACTGTGTTGGTGCTCACTCATGCGTGTGCGCGTGTGACTGTCACAGAGTTGCCTGCGTGCGTGCTGTGGTGCTGGGCAGGCCGCCATCGGGAGGTGCTGGGGACTGCAGGAGGCAGCCGTGCCCTAGGCTGGGTCTTCCTGCAGCAAGCGCCTTGCGGGCTCAGTAGCAGGCTGGTGCCTCAGGGTCTCAGCTGAGCCTGGCCAGGCAGGACAGGACTGAGCCGGACGGAACTGCAGCCACCTTACCTGGGCTGTGGGTCCCTCCTCGGCTTCTCCTACAGCGCCCTGGGCCTGCACAGGCAGTTGTGGTGCCCTGCGGCCAGCAGCTTTGAGGGAGGCTCACGAACGCTGTGCTCAGAGGTTTTGTCACTGAGTGCTGATCTGGTACATTCTCTGGTCATAAGTGTAAAGTAAGTGGTGTTCAGTGTTACAGTTCTTTCACATAAAAGTGAGTGTGTTTTGGTGCAGATACTTACATGTCATTTAGACTAAGTAAAACTTACTGGAAATGAAGTTAAGTTGATCTTTAAATGCAATCTTTAAATTTTAAAAATGTTCTAGCTGCATTTATACCTCTGCAAACAACATGATGTACTTTGTTCTTTTTCTAGCTTTCTCATCACACTTTTGAGCGTGCTTCCTGCCTGTGTAAAGCTAACGCTGCGTCCCTCTCTGAGGGGCTTCCGATTTGCCCTGGTGAGTTCCTTGCACCTTCAGGTTTTGGTTCTTCTACAGTTCAATGAGACTCCTCAGGCCATGTGATCCAGCAGCTGGCGTCAGGCATGAGCGGGGCTGGGGACAGCCGGCCAGGCTGTCCCAGGCAGGGAGTGGGGCCAGCCTGCAGGTGACAGGGGTGTCTCTGCACAGGCTTGCTCAGAGTGGGTACGTGAGCCCTCTGGTCTGTAAAGTGACCTTTAAAAGTAGCTGGTGTCACTGACATGGATGGTGACCACTGTGGAGCCCCAGGTGAGGGAGGGCTGGGGTGGCATGGACTGGAGGTGAAGCTGCCAGGTGCCGCATGTCTCGTTATTGCTCTGTTGTATCCCTGCACTCTCCACTGGCCTGGGAGTTGTGGAGAGAGGCATCGGTGCTGGTGGCAGTGCACCCTAAGAAAGTACAAAGATACTTCAGACCTGCGGTGCAGAGGAGCAGGGTCAACATATGTGGGCATGGTGGCAGAGGGCGGATGGCAGGGGACTGAGTAGGGGCAGGGAAGAGCCATGTGGCCCCCAGCTGTCTGCAGATGCCCATCCCGAAGGCCCAGTGCCAGCCTGTGGACAGACAGAAGTAACTGACTTAAACCCTAAGCAGCAGATGGGTTTCTGAGTCATGTGACACAGAGCACAGCAGTGAGCACCTTAAATGCCCTGCAGGTTTACTCCGCTCCTTTTAGGCTTTGATCTGCCTTTGCCCTTCAGGCTTTTTAGTGCAGCTGTCCTCAGGAGTGTGAGGGTATGGCCCTGGGATATGGGTGCTCAGCGAGTCTGTTTAGTGACGAGTCTTGAAGCCAGATAAAACATACCTGTATTCCCTGCACACTGGGAGGCTGAGGCAGGAAGAGCTGAAGTTTGCGCTCACGCAGGCTAATTTAGACCGTGGCCAACCAGACCTTGCTCAGTATTTAAAAAATAAAAGGGGCTGAGGATAAAGCTCAGTGCAAAAAGCCTGGGTTCTGCCTCTAGCACTGTGAAGAACACACATTGATTTTAAAATCTGAGGTATTATGCACACTGCATTTATATTTTACCTCCAGAGAAACTGAGGTAGGCAGGTGCCACTTGGAGTGATTGTTCTTTGGGCCCACAGGGACGTGGATCTCCTTTTTTCCCCTCTCTTCCAGGTCAGCTGTGCGCTGTCGTTCTTCTTGTTTTCTTTCCAGGTACATGAGAAGTCCATTCTGCTGGTAGCACTGTGAGTAGAACTGCTTGGCACGTGCATTTCTTGTGTGTTGAGAAGTACATTTATTTGGGGGGAGGGGCATAGGATTTCATCGTGTAGTTTAGGCTGGCCTTGAACTTACAGCAATCCTCCTGCCTCAGCCTCCCTACTGCTGGGACTACTGGTGTGTGCCACCACACCTGGCCTTGTGAGTAAATGTATAATTTATATAAAATTAATGAAAAATATATCCATACAAATTTCCTACATGCAACTATTATTTTACTTTATATTTGACACAAAAATCAGGTAGAATTACTGATTTACTTAATTTCTTGTTTCTCCCATGTCTTCTCTGTGCTGAGAAACAAATGTGCCTCCTGAGCAGATCACTTGAGCAGTGGCCCTGGTGTCACTGCCCCTCTGGGGTCTGGGTCCTGGGCACTAGGTGCCTTTCCCTCCACTACTGCCCACTCCCTGTCTAGCTATCTCTCATGTGTGGCCTCTGTGGGCTGCTTTCTCCACTTTGGTCTGTGAGTTTCTGGTCCTGCTGTGGGGCCTCACACCTCTCTTCTGGTCTCTGCGCCCCACCCATTCCTGTGCTTCCCAAGGGTCCCTGTGCGTGCAGAAGCCCTGGAAGGTGAGGGCGGGCTTGCCATGTGAAGAGAGACTGTGCTGCCAGTCCCGAAGCCAGCTGGCTGGGCTGTGCACACGGGATTGGGCCAAGGCACATCAGGTGTCCCAGATGATGCAGGAGCCTAAGACTCAGGGCATTGCGACCTGGGGAGGACCTGCCAGGCCTCATGTGTGAGTCTGGTGGTAGGAGAGGAAGAGGCTAGCAGTACTCAGCAAGCACTAAGCCTACAGCCTGCTGGGCAAAGGGGGAAGTCATTCACAAACTCTTGCAGAGCATTTTCCCTAGAAAAGAGCCAAAATAATAGTGATACTAGCAACAGCAGCAGCAGCGGTCAGCAGTCATTAGAAAAGCTTTGTGAGAGGGAGCTGCCACCAGGCAGGACTTGAAGGCAAAGTGCAATGTCATTGCTGTCACTCCAAGCACTAGTGCAGGCCCAGGTCCCAGCCACAAGTGCAGTGGACAGTGGCGCTGGGCTAAGGCAGGGAGATCACGAGCTCCCCTGTGCAGTCCTGTCTTGGATGGGCGCTGCAGCTGGTGCTGGAGTGTGAAGTCCTGCGCCCAGATCCGAACTAGCACCCCAGACACAGTCTTTGCTGAGAGAGGGACAAAGGAAGTGTGCTGCTGTTCTCCAGTGCCTGGAGTCTTGGTGACACGCCACAGAATAATGCTCACCCACATTTCCTTCCTTGCTTGCCTTAGCCCCGTCTGCCTTGTTCTCCATGAGGTTCCTTTCATGTCCGCGTGGTTCTTACTTGTGTCAACATTCAGGTGAGTGTGAGCTCTGCTTTCTTGGGGCGCCCCGGCCACTCCCCTCCTCTGCCTTACCTGTGGCCGCTTCTCTCCAGCATGTTGCCGCTGCTGCTCAGGGATGGGCTCCTCCTGCCCTCAGTTGCCACCACCATGGCCTTCTGCATGGCATGTGCGGCCCTGCTTCCGGCCTGGGCCGAGGCCTCAGAGGAGGCCCTACAGCTGGGGGCCTTTCTGGCTGCTGTGAGGAAGCACCTGCCATACCTGAAGCCAGCGCTCCTGCCCCATGGCATCCGATGCCTGGTAAGTGGCACGTGCCCAGGAAGCCAGGAGGGAAGTATGCGTCAGTGCAGGCCTTTGGGCCTGCGTGCATGCCTGTGAGCGAGCCAAGCTTTGTGTTTGGGGGCTGCCGGGCCCCCAGGCCCTGCACCTGGCACTCTGCAGTGCCGATGGGGTCGTAGGAGGTACCAGATACAGAGGGCCACCAGGTGCCCGGGAAGGAGTTGGGGTGAGAGAGACCAGAAGGCAGGCCTGCCACAGCCTTGTTTCCACATGCCAGCATTACCCGCAATAGGCTCCACCACCCATACATGGGAAATGCTAGGTGGAGGACCCTGTCCCCTGCCCCCGTGTTCCCCTGAGCGTGCTGAGCACAGGATGTCCTTCCCCACTTATCTTGCAAAAGCTCTGTGGGATGTGCGCTCACCCCTGGCTCCCCACTGCCTATCCCAGTGGGGTGCAAGCCCCAGGGATGCCAGGGAGGTGAACACCAGCCAGGACTCAGGCGGAAGCTGGGGCTCGGGCACCAGGGCCATGTGCTATGAAGCCAGAGGGCGCCCCAGCCTCCCCTTCACTCTGCCCATCTGACAGCATCCAGTCTGTGCTGCCAGTGCAATTGATTCCTGCCTCCCTGCCACTCAGTTATGTCTCTTCCCTGGACAGTTTCTTGCCTCAGTGACCACAATGGTCCTTCTGACGCTCATGTCTGTCACCCTGGAACCTCCGAGGAAATATCCAGACTTATTTGCTGTGTTGGTGTGTTTTGTGTCCTGCTTGAACTTCCTGCTCTTCTTGGCATATTTTAACATTGTGATCATGTGGGACTCCAAAAATGGAAGACGGAAGAAAACCAACTAGCTCTGCTTCCAAACAGACATGAACTTCTGTTGTGTGTCAGGTAAATGACTGTTTTGCAGACCGTGGAGTCTGGGAAAGGATGGTGAGATGTCACCACTGCCCACAGGAAATAATGTAAATGGGGACCAAAAGAAGCTTCCCTGTGTATTGCTGGGCTAAGGCACATCTGTAGTTTTGTTAATATTAACAGCCGTACAAGTGGTAACGGGAAACAGGCCACTAACCCGAGTATTTACCCAGGAAATATACTCTGTGTGGTATAGATGACTGAAAACATGATGAACCTACAGGAAGCATTAAGCCTCTGGGGAAGGAAATCACTAATGCTGGTATTCAAATTTAGTTTTCTTTGCATTCAGCGTGAAAGTCGGCTTTCATTGCTTAGAAGTTCTATCTCAGGAAGGTACATTTGTGAGAATAAACTTTTTGAAACTGAATATGCCTAATTACTTAGGCAAATTTGACTTTTATAGCAAGCAAACGGTTAAACAGTGCTGTTTACTTCCACGGGTTCCGACTTGAATCTGTTTAGAAACTGCAGTTTCCCGAGTTTCATCGGATGTGAAGCCAGGTGAAGCCTTGCACTGTGATTATGTGCTCTGGGCCTGCCGCAGCCAGGGTCTCCTCTCTGGCCCCTCAGGACGTGACTTCGAGGGCAGCTGTGTCCTGGAGATGCAGGTCCCTCACACCCACCTCTGAAATGATGTATCATCCTCTCTCGGTTGTGGTTGCCCACCTGAAGATGTTTCCAGTCTGCGTGATAAAATAAAACACTCCTTCCCAGCTGTGTGCTGTCGAGCCTGTTTCTTTTGAAGGTGGCCGTGGAGATACTGAGTGGCTGAATCCACGTGGCGCATTCTGACTGGTGTGGCAGCTGTGTCTTGGCATAAGTGTGGGGCTCAGCGCACAGCCAGAACCAGAGCTGGCCCTGGCCACTCCATCAGTTTCCACTGGGCCCATGCGGCAGTCTTGCAGCTTGGGTGGCCTCTTAAAGATTCATTTGTAGTCAGGTGCTTACATTCTACACAGGATGATGCCTTTGGTGAAGGAGGGGAAAATTCAGTCACAACTTCTAAGGAGCTGGGAGGAAGTGTCACTGGAATGTCCGTCAACCTTGGGAAGATGTGACACATGTCCAAGGGGGTACACAGGGAAGCTGTAGGAAGAAAACCTCCAGCTTCAACCTGGGAGACAAGCGCCTCTCAGGCTCATAGGAAACCAGCTTAAGAATGGATTTCAAGCCAGGTATGGTGCACACCTGTAACCCAGCAACTTAAGAGGCTGAGGCAGGAGGATCCTTGCAAGTTCAAGACCAGCCTGAGCTACAAAGTGAGTTCATGGCCAGCCTGAAATGCACAGTAGACCTTGTCTGTTTCTCTCTCTCTCTCTCTCTCTCTCTCTCTCTCTCTCACACACACACACACACACACACACACACACACACACAATGGATTTCAAACAGAGGAATTAAGATTCCAAAATAGCAAAAGCCAGTCATAAATGAAGATCACAGAAGTGGGCAATTTCTAAGCATTTCCACCTGGTATCAGGGTTATGGGGATGCACTCATATATTTAGGGTGGGCAAACATTAAGGCTAGGAAGATTTCTCACTTTCCTCACCAGCAGGTCTGACTGAAGATGGATCTTCTGTCCTCACAGTGCACACTGGGAGCTGGGGATAGTTACAGCAGGGTGGGAAGCAGAGGTAAGGAGCCTGAGTGGAGGGATGTGGGCCACCCTGAGGGTGCCTCCTGTCCTGACAGGACACTTGAGCCAGTGGGCCATTCCCATAGGTGGCCCAAGGGACCTCTTATAGGAGGGGAGCAGAAGCCCAGGGCTTCCAGTCTCCACTGGCCACCCCTGCAGGTCCACAGGAGAATAGCCACCCGGACTCATCCTTCAGGGGACCCCTGGGGGTGATGAAGCCAGAGTCATGTGACCTACAGCTGCTGGCAGGGACCCAGAAATGATTTCCAGCATGCCTGGCCGCAGCTAGTATGTGTCCAGTACCATCTTTGGTGGCCAGGTCCCAGGAATCTTAGCATTTAACGCCTTATCTTCAGAGTCAACAATGAGTTGTTTTTTTACCTTAGTTTGTTAAATGTTATTTCAGGCTTTCATGCAGAATTTTTATTTTCACAGAACACCAAATTAAATGACATGTTAGTTTTGTCACAATTTAAGGCAGCTCCTAAGATATTACCCCCTGCAGAAATTGTCACTGAAGTTTTGAGCTAACACTGAAGTCAAGACAGTTTGTGACTCCCGACTCTGTTTCCTGAGTGTCTATGCTAAGCGGCTCAGGGAACCCAGTGCTTCTCTTTCACTTTCACGGCCTCCATGCTGTGCAGTTTACGGACAGCTTTGCTTTTCAGGATTTTGGCTAAGTGTAAATGTACTGAAAAAGTGGATTCACCTGTCTTAGAAAAGGTGACATTTCACAACTGAAAATCCTTTTCTCTATAAGCATAGGAAAGAACTACTAGAGTATAACAGCTCATCTCTGACATAATGGCTATATAATAAACAGTAAGCCTCTAAAAATTAAAAAAAAAATTACCCTCACAGTGACGCATACCTGTCATCCTAGCACTTGGGAGGCTGAGGCAGAAGGATCATTGTGAATTCAAGGGTAGCCTGGCTCAGTAGTTAGAGGCCATCCTGGACTACACAGTGAGACCCTGTCTCAAAAAATAAGCAGTTGGGGCCTTGAATGGAAAAGTGGTCCCCAGTGACCCGCTCTGGGTGGAATCTGAGTCCTGGGAAGCACAGCGAGCCTGTGTGCACGCCAAGCGGCAGACACTCAGGACATTGGACCAAAGCCAGGCCCCCACGCCGTGCTGACTTACACTGAAGGGTCAAGAAGAAATGTATTATTTACATTGAGATTATCCACTGGTGTGCGGAGAAAGTTTAAATTAGCTGCAAGAAATCTTATCTAGACCTGCAGCTGCCTGTGCTTGGAGCTGGTATTTACCAGGCAGATTAGTTATAGATATCTCTTCTGTCCCTTAAATACGATCAGGCAGATGCAGAAGCCGTGCCCATGAGTGCCTCTCGGTATCCCAAGTGCCTACGAGACAGAAAACACAATTACTGCAGCACTGTGGGTTCCTTTCCAGGTTAACATACACCTCACATGCTGCCAAAGACGTGACTGAAACCCCATTTTGCACATGGGCCAGTGCCTCTCTTTTGCCCGAGTCCTCTAAGCCAGAGTATCCTTCGAAGCACTTGTGGGCATGACAGCACTGTTTGCCTTGTGGGGAGACCCGAGACACTGGGGACTCGGCCCCTCAGCCCCTCAGCATGGCCTGTGGAAATCACCGGATTTACAGGGCTCCACATCTTCCTCTGAAGCTGTAAGGGCCTTTTAGCAGGTGTTCTGCCAACAGCTGACAAAAGTTAAGTAAACAAACACAAGGCAGGGTTTGGAAAGAGCCAGTCTCTCTGAGGCCACCTGGTGGCAGAGGCTGCTGTCCTTGGGCCTTAGGAGGCTGCAAGACAGTGCCATGGAAGGGTGAGCAGCCCTTGGCAGGGCTGGCGACTTCCTGCAGGGCCCCAGTTTCTTGCGAGCACAGCGGCCCTCTCCTTTAAAGAGGAGTGGCCAGCACAACCACCAGGTTCTTTCCACAGCAGACGCTGAGCAGCAGGTGCTGAGCAGCCCCACAGGAGACCAGTGCAGGACCGGAGCAATGACAACAGGACAGAGCACAGTGAAGGAGCTGGGCCGCAGAGCTCCCATGCCAGGGGCTGCTCTGCACCTGCAGCATAAAGTGAACTGGTGATCTCTGCTGTACAAGAGTGTACTGGAACCTTCAAAGTGCTACTCAAATGAGGACGCTTAACTGTGATGCACTTTCCTAGAATCTATGAAAACAAAGCTGTGCTCAGGACTCAGGTTCCCCAGTTCACTGAGACCATTACACACTCAATGTGCACTTTTTTCCCCCTGGTACTAAGGATCGAACTCAGAACCTTGTGCTTGCTAGGCAGGTGCTTATGCCACTGAGCTAAATTTCCCCAGCTCTAAATGTGCATATTTCTTTGCTAAATATATGACTTGAAAATGCATGTATAGGCATTCCCTAATGTAAATGTTCTCTGTTGGCTTTTCCTGGATCAGGAATTTTATAACGCTTAATGCTGTAGTAAAGAAATACACGTGGATGTCTATTTCCCTTGCTGGACAGTATATAAAACCCTGCTGCATGGTTGAGGGTATAGGCGCTGCAGGCCGGGCCGTGGCAGCCCATGCCTGTAATCCTAGCACTTGGGAGGCTGAGCCAGGGCAACTGCTGCAAGTTCAAGACCAACCTGAACTACAGAGGGAGACCCTGTCTCCAAACACAAGCACAGGCTCGAGCAGCCCAGCACTCTGTGGAGATGTTTCTGGGATGATACACTGAAGTTCTCTGTGCCTCAGTTTCCCTCCATTGGAGGTATTAACTATATATACTGTGTCATGTTGCAACGATTAAACGGGCACATGGTTTTTCCTGACGGTGCTGACCCATCGAACATGCTCAGTACGTGCTAGCAATTTTTATCAGCTATTACTGTGTATGACAAAAGGAACATTTAATGAATAAAAAATGAGTTTGCTCCACCTAATGCTTTGCAAACATTTTGTTAGACAAGAATTAATCACTTGAAATACCATCTCTAAAGAAATGAATTTTCTAGATATGATTTAGGTCTTTTGTCTTGCTTTTCTAAAAATATCTTCTAAGACAGAGCAGGCACCATCTGGTTGGCACTGGGAATCTTAATGATGCTACTGAGTATGGGTACGCGGGTTCCTAGGGTAAACATGGGCCCAGGTGCAACTCACACTAAGCCATACCTCGACTTCTCCCGCTCCCAGCTGATATAATCAGCTAGTGTAAACATAGCACCTTATATTGCTAAATCAATAGGAACTGTTGGAGATGTAAATATATAATTATTTACTTAGCCAATTTAATGTTTCTAAATTTAACAGACTTGTGATGTCTTGCTCAACCAGACGTGTCCTACAAAAACTAGAATCTTCTTGCCAGCAGCTATGACTTTTATAGTGAAGGTGTTCAATAGGGCCCCTGCGTCCTTATTACAGATGCACCCCTGACTGTCACAGTGTACCTTTTCCAGCCAGCCTCTGGCTCACAGGGCTTCTCAGATGGCTGTGCAGTTCAGACAAGCCTTGAACTTACTATGTGTCTAGGCTGGCCTGAAGCTCTCGGAGGTCCTCCTGCCTCAGCCTCCCAAGTGCATGCACTACCACACCTCACTGCTTTGCTGTTCTAAGACTGTACCACATCTGATAATATAGATATAATGCTTCCACTTGGACAAAACACAGGGAAGTTTAACCAGGTTAAACTGAACGGAAAAGTAAACAGTACCTTGGCTTAAAATGGCTTTAAGGAATTCGTAGCTGTCAAGATGACATAACTCTGTATGAAAGAAAAGATATTTTTTTAAAAACACTTCAAAAGTAGTAAGAGTAGTTTGTCACATTGTATGAGGCAGAATAAATGCTGAACTGAACTTTGCTCTAGTTTCCAGGGTGAGTTTCAGGCTGTGCTTGTGTCCCCTCACCCTGTAGCCAGTGGGATCAAGCCCAGCTCGCACAAGCAGCCGAGGCATTAACTCCATGATAAACTGCATGCTCGGTGCTGGCCCCTGCTGGGAGGGCAGGCAGTGTGTATCCCCCAGGTAGGACAGTGCCTGGCATGAAATGGACATCCAGGAAATACTCATTAACACAGTGTGGAAACAGCATTTGGATCATGCTTGGGGAAGTCCATCCCCATAGTCACTGACCACCCAGAGACCCATGGGTCTGTGCCAGGCTCGGCTCTACCTGCCAAGGAGGGGCAGGGCCTACGGCCAGAGAGACAGTACCCCACACCCCGACTCTAAGCCCTCGTCTGTGCTGTGGGGGCCAAGAGAGCTCTGCCAGGCAAGGAGGGAGGTGGCAGCCTGGAGCAAGGGGCTGCCCATCAGCATGAACTGCCCTAATGTTGGACAAGGCCTGCTGGCAGCTGTGCACAGCTCTGTCCCTACCTGACACAGGGACAGGACTTGCCTCATCTGGGCAGGGCACTCTTTTGACTACTCTGAGACAGGGAAAATGTCCACCTGTCCAGTGACAGAAAACCGATTTCTCTCTACATGCCAGAGTAATTTTTATTCCTTCAGAAACAGCCAGACTTAAGGCTATTCATTACTGTCTTTTTACAGTATTTTTATTTAATAAAACCTATTAAGACTACCATACAAATCTCCTTACTTATGCTTTTATCTTTTAACTGATCAATTTTTATATTGCTGACACCCCTTCTTCCCCATTTGCTCATTTAAAAATTCATAGTATGTGAGCCATGTCTCCAGGGAAGATGCCCATAAAATTTGTTACAGCTGGCAAATGCGTATGAGTCAGTGATAGCACATGACTAAATGCTTCGCAGAAAATAAAATTTGTTTCTGTAGTAAGCAGAACTGTTTAAATGTTATTTATTTTTATGTTTCAAAGAAAATATATGGTGAAGTGCTGCATTGATTTAATACGCAGCAGTGTCTGTGTACACGCTGCAAAAGGGAAATTTATGAAACCTTTGCACAACTCCTTTAATTGAATTTTCTAAATCTCTCACCACACACAAATAATCAATATCTTCTGCAGAGAAAACCAGTCAGAATTATTACCGTCTTTCTTTTCAGTTTTGTTGTTATCAGCACATACCCAGCACCTGGATATTTGTAATGTCGCTAGCAAGTTATTTACACCTCTTAACATGTTTTGCTATTATGAGTCCAAATGTAGAATTTTAACGGTTTTTACTGATTTTATTCAAAAGAAAAATTATCATAATCATGGTATAATTTAAAAAATTTAACTCAGGGGAGGAATTATTAAAAAGCCTCTGAAGATCATGAAGCAGTCTGTTAGACCCCAGACACATCAGCAAGCGTCTGCAGCAGGTGACATGCACCCAGCAGTGCGGACACCCCGAGAAGCACTGTCCTGATTGGGGGCAGTGGGCAGCACTGCCCGCAGAGTCCCATGGGCACAGGTGCATGTCACGCACATCCTGCTACCTGAAGTAATGGCTCCATTTCTATCTCCAGAGAGACGCAGCATGTTAGAGTGGGAAGGGGAATTTTTGTTGTTTCTCTTAAAACTCATCATGTCTCAACTTCAGACCTCAGTGCTTCTAAAACTGAAGCATCTGTTTGAAAAGAGATTGTTTGGGATATAACAAAAATGCCAAAAGGCTGGCAGTATTCTGGGAGCAGTTATTTAGCTGATACGATGAATACTTTCTCAAGACTGAGTAGGGGTAAAGACAACATGTTTTTATGTTTAAAAAATACTTCAGTGGGTGGTGAGAATGAAAAGGCAGCCTCACAGTGTTTTACAGTGTCAGGGGGCAGCATTCATCCTATGGTCCGAACAATTAGGTCCCTTTAGGCCCTCTTACCAACATGAATTTTACAGTGTAAGGACACAGTGCATGAACTAAAGAAAATGGAAACACTATAATTGTGCGTTTAAAAAAAAAACACTAGAGCTAGAAATTGTGAAATATTTCTTCTTACAGCTGGAACAACCCACTCTGATGAACAATGTAAAGTTCAGGTGGTTATATTTCATTTAAAATATGCATACTGCAGCCTACACAATTATTCTCAAAACAGATAAAATATGTTTTGGACCAAAGCTGAGTGTCCAGATTTCCTATCTGGCAGCTGCTCCACAGTTTGCTTACATTCTTTTCAAAAACATTTTGTTTACTGAAGTACTGGCAGAGATGGACAATGATGGCATTTTTAAATACCTCCAGCACAAATGAAAATGCTAAGGACTACAGAACGCCTCTACTAACTAAGGAATATCTGCACCAAGTTGTTTTTAGAGGTTGACTGTGTAAAGCAAATAAATTTCATGCCTCCCATGTGATGACAGTGTGACACTCCGTCTGCAGCAGCCCACTGAATGGTCATATGTCTTCAACCCTCAGCATAGCAAATTTAAAATAATCTCACAGAAAAAGAACCTCTCATTTCTTTCTTGTTCCAACAGTCATAAAGCCAATATTATTAAGCACAATGAGGTCAGACCCGATGCCCAAGGGCATGGAAGAAAGAAGCCTTGCTCTGTCACGGCACCCATGTTCAGCAGAGGAGACCCCGTGCACCCACGCACTCCACCAGGGATGCCCTGCCTACAGGTCCTAAGGAAAGTTTCGGGGTGCCTTTTCCCATTACCAGTGTCTCTCCAATAGCTACTAGTACCTCCAAGAGTGATGCATGTCAGGGCTGTTATCTGCAAGATTACAGTACAATTTTATGTTATATCCTCTTGCAGCAACAATGACTGCAAGTGACCCTGCCTGCATGCCAGAGCTTGCACTGAATGAAAAATAGAACTGAAAGAGCAGCAAGGAGCAGTCCCCATGAACGCTGGCGTCCTCTGGCAGTATATACTCTGACTATCCTGGGAAGTATGAAGGATCCGAGGAACAAGAAAACCAGTCATTAAAGAATCGTTCCCTCATCATCAGCACTGAGGGACCCCCTCTGGTGGCAAAATAAATCAGTGGCTTATTCCCATCCTAATAGCCACCCCCATGAAACCAATACGAGTATCACTGTACGGCAGTTTTAAGTTTCACAGAATTGCGGATGTTATGAAGAATTGCAAAACATTTAAATAATAGTTTAGCCAAAGAAAAGTAAAAATATCTATAAAAAGCTGAAATCAAATCTCAAAATACGGAACATACACAGCAAACTGGTTTGAGTACCAAAGGTAAAAACAAAATAAAAAAACCAAAAACAGGCAAAGTACTCTTAAAATGAATGAATTAAACAAGGAGTGAAAGTTGTTAGCTTAGTACACAATGTAAGAGTGTGTGTGTGTGTGTGTGTGTGTGTGTGCGCGTACGCGCGCGCATTTGTACTTATGTGTCTACAGTATTTTTAACTCCATCGACAAAGCCCAAACTAAATATACCTACATTAGGAACCAGAGAAAGAAGTGGAGAAACGCTTGGTGAAATTAGACAACTCGAACTCAGATTAGAAAGAAAAAGGTGTTTTTATGGGTACTGGGGATTGAACTCATGACCTCACACTTGCCAGACAGGCGCTTGTGCTGCTGAGCTAACCCCTTGGCCTAAGAAAAAATGTTTAATCTGTTTTTTAGGTGGCAATAATGTGTTAAAAGCCAACGTACAGTTTTTAATATCTCAGAAAATAAAGCTCATGTAGCTCCTGCCAAGAAATAGAAATGGAAGATAATAAATATGTATTATAACATGTAATATATATCAATACATAATAAACAGATGCAGGTACTATGTTATACATTTTAAAATTCAGCTTTCATTTAAACTATGACAAGTGCTCTGTGCTTATTAGAAATTGAAAAACATGACCTAGTGGTACAGTTTCCTCTGTGATGTACGAAACCCAGCCCTTTGGAGATGTGATGATAGACAAGTCAGCCTTCCAGACTTAGAGCAACACCACAGTGCTCATCTTGCCTTAGACAAACCAGGAGCTGAGAACCAAAGCGGGAGGACAGAAGCATCTCCTGGAGAGTCTTAAGTATCAGGAGTTCTGGAAAACTTTACATTCACTGATTTGTGTGACATTTCTCAAAATGGTTCATAATGTCAATTCTAATTAGCTCTAGGAAACTAAACATTAAAAAAAAATCATACTATTGGCACAAAACATATAGAAGGGACATTTCTTTCTATTGGGAGAAAATAAACACTGACATTTTGCACTCTGACCCTCTAGCTCTGGTCAAGCAAGAAGAGATGATTCTGAGCAAGTCCCACAGCCTCAGGAGCAGTGGTCAAAACTGCCCGCACTCAGCTTCTGCGTCCTCTCCCACACATCCTCACTTCAGGTGCGGACCCCAAACCCAGGTACCACCAGCTGCGCTTCTGTGATGCACTGGACTCTCAGAGCTGGGAGACCAGGTGATTTCCTCCACTGTAGAAGCAGCAGCAGAAAGACAGCATGTTTCTGGGTTAGAATTCCCACTCTGTACTGAGGGGCAGTGTCTCTGGGTAAGATAGTTAACATTTTTGGGTCTTTGTTTCTCATCTGTAATGGCAATGTGAACAGCTATCTTCCAGGACTCCTGTAGACAGCTGCTGACCCTCATGCGCTGGGCACACAATAACTACAATCCCCAACAAGTGGAGCTTGTGGTACCTACAGCACAGACTCAGACATGACCAGCTGAGGCTGACTCCACTGGCAGAGCTGGCTGTGTCATGGCCATGTCTGTGTCAGTAGCAGCAAAACGATCGCTGTGAGTTCATGGTCCACGATGCTCTTGTTTACTGAGGTGTGGACACGTCTTTCCAGTGGGGAACTGCTTGCTTAGTTCCTCATGCTGTGAAATGTCAGAGGCACAAGCTCACAGCACAGCGAATGTCAAAACCTTGTTAGTGAGCTTAAACAGTAACTCTGAATACTTTGTATATCCTGATCCACAATGATAAACTGGTATATTGATGTAATGTGGTGATTATTCTTGTCTGTATTCTCAAGAAATAGTAAAAAGGCAACATTTAAGATTGTGTTTAAAGGGGCTGGGGATTTAGCTCAGCGGCATAAGCGCCTGCCTTGCAAGCGTGTGGTTGTGAGTTCGATCCCTGGTACCGGTAAAAATACAAAAATACAAAAAAAAAAAATAAAAATTAAAATTAAAAAAAGGGGGCTGGGGATACAGCTCAGTGGCACAGTGGCGGCCTGGCAAGCATGAAGTCCAATTCCTGGTTCAAAAAATAAATAAAATTGTGCTTAAGTTGGGGATGGTGGCCCACATTTGTAATCCCCTCATTCTGGAGGCTGAGGCAGGAAGGCTGCTTCGAGTTCAAGGCCAGCCTAAACTGCATAGCAAAACCATCTCAAAAGACAAAAAAAAAAAAAAAGTGTTTAAATGGATCAAAGATCTAAGTATTAAAATGGAAACATTAATCTGGTGGAAGATAAAATAGTTTAACTCTTCAAGACTTTGGTATAGACAAAGAATTTTTGATCCAAAACTCGATTGCACAGGAACTATCACAAAGAATCAGCAACTCATTTTATTATCTCATCCTGCTAAAAAGCAAGCACAGCAAGAGGAACTACTAACAGAATGAAAAGACAATCCACAACGTGAGAAAGGATTTTTGCCAGCTATTCCTCAAAGGATTACTACGTAGAGCATAAAACAATCAGACCTCTCAAATTTAAAGATTCAAACCAAAATGGGCATCTGAGATGAATATACACTTCTCAGATGAAGAAATATGAAGAGCAAATATGTGAAAAAATGTTCAACATCACTGGTCATTCGAGAAATGCAAATTAAAACAAAACTGAGTTCTACCTTACCCCAGAAAGAATGGCTACCATCAAGAAGTCAAGCAGTAACAAATGCTAGTGGGGTTGTGAGAAAAAATGAACCCTTCTCCATTGTTGGTGGGAATATAGACTGGTGCAGCCACCGTGGAGATTCCTCAAAAAACTAGGACTAGAGGTCCCATTTGACCCAGTTATTCCCCTTCTGAGGGGAATCTTCCCAAAAGAATTAAAAAAATTATACCACACAGTGATGTATGTACACCCATGTTTATACCAGCACAGTTTGTAACAGCCAGATCATGAAACAACCAAAATGCCCATCAACTAAGGAATAGGTGAAAAGATGTATTTTTATACAGTGGAGTACTACTCAAGCCATAAAGAAAGAAGGCTAAACTGGAAACTTTTATAGGTAAATGGATGCAATTTGAGACTACACTAAGTGAAATAAATAAGACACATATTGTCTCAGTGTGAGAAGCTAAAAGAAACAACGTATGTATATGTATGTGTATATAACAAATAGTCAGGATAGTTATACTGCTGATTTCTCTGGGTTCACTGAAGAGAAAGATTTGTGCTACTGTTGTTTGGACAACTGAATGCAGCTGTCTTGTGCTCTGGGTAAGGGACTGGTGGGTGACAATGCACAATGCACACACCATTGTTACCTGGCTTGATGTGTTCTGAAATTTTTTGCCTCCCCCCCCCACTTTCTTTTTTCTCCTTGAAATAAAATGGATTTGGAAAAAATGCGGTTATGAAGGAAGTTAACACACATAATCTGCTAAATGGGACGCATGGTCTTTACAAAGTACAATAGAAAGGACTTAGAGAGATCAGGTGTTTTTTTTGTTTTCTGAGGTTTTTTTTTGGTACCAGGAATCAAACTCTCAATCTAGCACCTGCCAGGCAGGGGCTTGTGCTGCTGAGCTAAATCCCCAGCCCTCAGAGATTGGTTTTATTTGGTGACACAACACAAAAGTATCTCTTTATGTAGTAAAATTCAATTCCTTACCTTTGTGAGGAAGTTCTGAACTTTTCTTTTCCAACAGTTTTTGTTTTGTTACTTTTGTCACTAAAAGAAAAAAAAAATCCCAGGTCAAGAATTAATATGGAATATGAATAATTTCTCAGAACAATTTCATGAGAAAAAATAATTCAAAGTGTATGTATCCATTGGTATCACATATAAAATACATTAATTTCCTTTTTTTTCTTTTTCTTTTTGAGACAGGGTCTCACTATGCACTTAGGCTGCCTTGAGCTCACTTTGTAGTCCAGGCTGGCCTCGAACTTTTGGTCAGCCTACTGAGTGCTGGGATTACAGGTGTGTAATCCTGGGTGTACAGTGGTTTCTTAACTATTGTATTTTTAAAATGAGCTCTATAGCTAGATGTGGTAGTGTATGCCTGTCATCCCAGCACTGCAGGAGGATGACAAGTTAGGGCTGGGGATGTAGTTTTATGCAAAGACTCTTGAGTTCAGTTGTGCATAAAAACTCACTAGTGGTTTTCAAGACACGATCTTTTCCTCCACACTCAAAAGGCATCTCTGAAGCAACATATCCTGGCAAAAAGCAGTATTTTGTAAAGGACAACAGCAGTATTTCCAGCTGCACCAATGGTGGTATGTACACAGAAAAGTTCCTGAAATTAAACTGGAGAAAAACTAAGAAGCTTATATTTAAAATTACTACTCCTGAAAATGCAACAGTTTTTCTTACATAGTTCTTTGGTTTTCTTTATTTCTCCTCTTAAGAAACGTGATGCACAAGAGGCACCAATGAGATTTTCAAACTCCTTGTTGCCCTTTAAAGCCTAAAAGAAAAACACGTGAAATGAGTTAGCTGTGTCTCTATAAGAGTAAGATTGCTGACAAAGAAACATGCACTACACTGGCTCCTTCCTTTGAAAAACTTAAAACTCGGGGCTGGGGGTTTAGCTCAGCGGCATAAGCGCCTGCCTTGAAAGCAGGCAGTCGTGAGTTCGATCCCCGGTACCGATAAAAAGGAAAAAGACAAAAAAAAAAAAAAAAAAAAAAACAAACTTAAAACTCCATGTTAGGAAATTCACTGTATTTGGTATGTCAGCTATCGCAAGCTTTAGACTGCCTGAATATAAATAACTTACCAATTAAAGATTAACCATAATCTACAGATTTACTTTCAAATGTAAAAAGGCCAGCTATTATAGTATTAAAATAGTATGGCTAAGTAGCAGTCATAAGAGCAAAGCCGGTCCCAAGACAGGCAATGAGACAGAGCCTTGCAAAGCTCTCCGGGAAGGGCCTCTCTCCTTCTTCCTTCAGACAGGGCAGGGTGTAGGAGCAACTGCACGGGTAACAAATGGAATGACAAAGCCGACCTGTAAGCTCCTTAGGCTCTGCATCGTCTCCGTGATTTTTTCTGCAGATCTCTCAGCTTTAGAGAACAGGACCATAAACCTAAAAAGGAAAGAGAGCAAGAATAAGGATCCAGACACGGCCAGTCATTCCAGGGCTACTTCATTCTACTTACAGCCAGTCTACAGTCATTCTACTTACGAGACGCTTACATTCATTTTCCTGCTCCTTTCTTCACATTTTTCAAAATGGCAGAAGGTATCGGTGCCCCCTGCTCCTCTGATCCTCTACATGATGCCAACTTTGCGTCCTCTGGAGTGTCACAGCCCCACCCCCATCAGCCAGAGCCGTGCTGGTCCTCTCTCTGGGACACCTCCTGGGGAGGCTGGGACACCCTGTCACTTATCTGTCTTGGTCTGAGCCTGTGAAGTGTGTCACTCAATGACTTTAAAATAAAACTAAGTTTTATGGCTTATGTATTTCTTATAATCTTCACAACCCTTTAAATTTGAAAATGGAAGAAATCAACACCTGTAATCCCACCTTCTAAACAGATCTCTACTTAGTAGTTTGCAAAAATTCTCAGTTTTAAAAAAACTCTTCAGTGTAAGCCTCGCTTTACTCAGTGTAACATCACACATCAGTCTGGTAAGCACAGCGAGATGACGGAACCTTTGTGATTGCAACATTTTTCCTTTGCCAATTTTAAAACCCCATCACTGTATATGATAACCTATACAGACACAACTTAATAGAAAACTTTATATGAAATTTAAAATTTTTAGTAGCTACATGGACAAGAAAGAAAGGTAAACAATTTTTTTAGTGTTTTTTTTGGAGGGGTACTGGGAATCAAACTCAGGACCTCGTGTTTGCCAGGTAGGCACTGTGCTGCTGAGCTACATCCCTGGCCCCTGAATTTAATGTATCCTGCCATCTGCACTCAGTGTGTCGCCAGCCAACAGCTGTCCCCCTTCGAACTCTGCAGTGAGGTGCTCAGGCCACCTGCGCCCATTGCCACCTGTTCAGAGCGCCCACAGCTAGTCTACCAATTTTATGAGAAATCAGTGAGGTGGTTCACAAGCTCCTCAGGGTCACAGCAGTATTACTCATTAAAATGTTTGTTGTTGAAGACAAACATGAGGATTAATTATAGTTTCCATGTGCACTGGGGACATACAGCATGAGTGAGGAGAAGCAAGCAAACAAGGCACAGGGCCCTGGCTGCTCATGTCTAAGCTGAGAAGCACCAGAAGACATGGGACTATGGGTTGTGTTTTCTTTACAATACCCCAGTGTTTTTTTTGTGGAACCAGGGATCGAACTCATGACCTTGTGCTTGCCAGGCAAGTGCTTATGCCGCTGAGCTAAATCCCTGGCCCTACCCCAGTGTTGTTTAAGATTCAATTAAAGTTCACCTATCTGAGGCCTCTATGGGACCCCAGAAGCACAGTTTTGGTGTTGCAGCACATGGCTTTCCCCAAGCCTGCAGAGCAGAAGACCCTCACTTCCCACACACAGGGCAGCATGCAGGTGAAGAGAAGCCTGTGCAGTGGGAGGCGTCTTTCCCGAATGCCTGAGCAGCAAAGCCCCGCAACACCCTGCCCTGCCTTACAGTCCCGATGGCTGCTTGCTGACCTTCAGGCACTGTGTGCAGGCCCAGCTCTGTAGCTCTAGAGCTCTGCCATCATGGTGGCTCTGAGGGGTGCTGTTCCTGGTGTGCAAGTTGTCAGCAGTGCCACCAGCAACTGTGCAATGTGGCACTCCCAAAGGACCTCCTAGCGCCTCCCAGATGAAGACAGTCACACGGAGCCAGGTCACACTGTCCACAGCCCTGGACAGCATGGACCGAGTGTCCATGACTCGGGAACTATTTCAGCATGTCTGGCTGGGCGGTCTAAGCTGCATGCACAGTGACCGTGCCTCTTTCCACTGCAGAACCTCGTGTATCAGTAACTACACTACATCTCACCTTTCTAACTTCCTTTTTTCTCCTCCTCCTTTTTCTTCCTAGATGAAATCAACTCCTTTCCCTCCCGCAAGGCAACCAAATTCAAGGAGCTTCTGTACCTGGCACCTAACAACTGAAGCCTGAGAGGGCGCTGTACCTCAGGGTGGAAGTGGTCTCTTCCCGTCTCCCCCAAGTGCCAGAGCCTTTGTAATCCTTGGCAGTGAACTGCTTGCGAGCCAATGTGGAGGAAACAGGAGCTGTTATTTTACTCTAGTCAGGGTGACACTTCCTCAAAGTGTCACTTTTTAGTACCCCTGGGCTAGAAACTAGATTGTTTTCATTGCCTATCGATAGTACTTTCCATACCCTAAATGCATGGTTCAATTCTACGTCACTGCACTACAACAGCATCACTGTTTGCATGAGTCCCTTTTGAGTATCATCCTGATATTTTTTATAGACTTGCTTGTGAAAACCATCATCTTCTAAGCTATCTGCAGCTGTATTTGTCCAGCTCATTATAGCACAGAACTGCAAAGCTACTGCCACTGTCCCTCTTGGGTGGTGACTAAAAGCAGCACCAGGGGGTCCCATTCACATCTCATAGAACACTGATGTCCCTTTCCAGCCGAGCAAAATGGATTGAGTCCTGGTCCTCAGTGACACCACACCACCCATGAGGGGATAGGGCACTGCCTCCTGTCACCTCGTGACTGTGGTAGGCCCCTTCCACCTTTACATCTGATTAGACTGTACATCACCAGCCAAAACACCATAGCACTACTTGAGAAAACAGAAAGACTGGTGCTGCCTGCTGGCAGGTAAATGTCCCGCAGGACTCTTCCCAGCAGCTGGGAATCTAGAGTCCAGACTGGGCCTCTCTCTCAGATGCCCTGAGAAAGAAACCGGCTTGCTTGGCCTGGCACCCTGGAAGCTGTTCAGTGCAGCGTGGGCTGGGTTCTATGATACACTAACTGAGCATCTTCTCTCCCCAAGGAAAGCTGTGCATCAGGATCTTTGGTGCATCTTTCCAATTTGCTTTAAAAAGTGGCATGGCGAAATTCCTAATTCTATCATTTTCCTCAAAAAGGAAATCCTTATCCTTCTGAAGAACAACTAAAATTAGATTCTTCAGCCAAATAAAATCCACAGGAGGTCCTGGATATATCCATTAATTAAACTTTTAGTTTCCCAATGTTAATTTTTTTGGTCTCAAACAACTAATGTTTACCTTGTCTTTTACAACTATCATTCTTCTCTAGAGAGTGATAAAGAAAATACAGTGAACACTAACATTAAAAACTCACCATGGTAGAAGACACTGCCAGTCACCCCACTCAGATTGCGCTCCTCCATCTTGTTTGTAACACGTTCACGCAATCATTCCTGCCCTTACTGAAGCAGGACCACAGGAGCACACACAGATTCAGTCGATGGAAGTGCAGCACACAATTCTACTGAGTCCAGTGCTGCTGAGCTCTCCCATACTGGTTAGTTGTTTTTTTTTTTTTTTTTTTTGAGACAGGGTCTTGCTATGTAGTCCAGGCTGGTCTTGAGTTCACTATGTAGCCCAGACTGGCCTCAAACTCACAGCAGTCCTCCTGTCTCAGCCTCCCAAGTGGTAGGATTATATCACACCAGCTTACTGGTTAATTTAATGAGTAATCTTTCATAGATTATTGAGAAAAGTAATACTCAAACCAATCTCTATTTTCTCCATCTTAAACTTAAAACTATTTCTATCTTCTCTATTAATACAATGCTTACTCCCTAAGGACACAAACTTTTAATTGATTTCATTACTAAACACTGTCATCTTAAGTCACAACCTTGGAGGAACTGTACTTTTTATAACATCTTAAGACCTAAGAGTTACATGCAGATAACAGAGATGAAATCAGGTTTCTATCTCTACAACACTGTGGCTCATACAGAAAAAGTAAATAGGCATTTATTTAACTGTCTCTAACCTGGCTATTGTGGGTGATGATACTTAGATTATTCTCAAAACAAAATACAAACATCAAGGCACTTAGAAATACTTGTTACTACAAGCTATGCTTTAATTTTCAAAACTCCATGCTAATTATCTCTCAAAATTATTTAATTATCTAGAGTTATATATACAGGGGTGTCTGACCCATATTCTGCAACTGTTACACATTATTCCCAAAAGTGCAATTAATTCACTTACTATTGGCACCAGAATTTCTGGACGAAAGTTCTAATGAAACAAATTCCTGGCCTACACCCAAGCACTGCTCACTGAGAGCATCTCTGGATGGGAGCTAGCAATGATTTCCAGGTACTGCAGAAGTATTTGAGAACATTTTCTTTGAAGACTGGTTAATTTTTTAAAACCTGTGGTCAGTACAAACACTGACACTTGTCAAAAACATTTCCCTTGTGCTTAGGCCTGTTTATTAAATTACACATGGTACCATGTGTTAGAACTTCATTCCTTTGTAACAGTGAGTGAAATTCCACTGATGAATACCTTACATTACATTTTGTATATCCATTCATTTGCAGATAAACATTTGTGTTGTTTCCACCTACTGGGTATTGAGAAATGCTGGAACCGACACAGTGTACAAATGTGAGTCAGTTTTCTGTTCTCCTGAGCATGTACAAATGAATGAGACTGGTTAGTCAATAATTCTATGTTTAATCTTTTTGAGGAACTACCAGTCTGTTTCCATACGAACTACAATGTATAAGCATTCCAGTTTCTCCACATCCTTGCCACACATATTTTCCGGGTTCTTTTTAAATAGCTCAGTTTACTTTGGTTTTGATTTGCATTCCTTAATGACTGATGATGTCCAGTGTGTACTTACTGGCCATCTGTATCTACCTGAAGGGATACCTACTCAAGCCGTTGTTCATTTTAAAAGCTCGGTTGTCTTCCTGTTGTGGAATTTTAGGATTAACATATTCCAGGTATTAAATGCTGAGATACATGACTTACAAATATTTTCTCCCATTCTGTGGGCTGTCATTTCATTTTCTTGATAGTGCAGTTTTTGATGCATAAGTTTTCAATTTTGACAGTGGTCCCAATTTGCTTTTTTTCTTTTGTCAACTGTCTACTTCCAGTGGTTATCTAAGAATCAATTGCCAAATTCAAGTTCATGAAGATTTATTACTG